AACTTAACCAGAGTTCACAGGAAATGTTTCTCAGTTCCAAGACGTAATTTCTGGGCAGAGGAAGACCTAGGCCTGTGCCGTGGGGTTTCACTCGGCTCTTGGCTGCCTGGGCTCAGTTCCAGGGTTCACACCATGACCATGCGAGTTTTGGGGTGGGGGTTGCACCCCTGCTTTTGCTTTGACTGGTTTCCATTTCTCCCGTGATTGAGAATGGGAAGGGAGTTGAAATGCTTAGTGCAACGTGCTTAGAGCGGTGTTATTTTTTGCTTGCCTCTGTTCTGTCTTACTGGAACTCAGCAGCAACTTCACCTGAGCCCTGAGGATGTGTGTGTTTGGACTGGAGTCGGTTTAAAAGGGTTTCTCATTAACAGTAGATGTGGCAACAGGATTTGCTACAGTGTTTTGGAGTGGGCCACTCTTCTGTAATATGTAGCTTATTAATTGCAACATTGTGCTTATCACAGTTGTTTCTTAAAAGCACAAGTAGGGATTTAAGCTGCCTAGTTAAATAAGAAAAATACCATTCATTTTTCCTAAGGTCCCAGAAATTGGTTTGTGAATTTGAAAGGGTAAAAGAAGCTTGGCAAAGATGTTCAGCTTAACTTGGATATTCATGGTCTTATTTAACCCCGTGTTTTGGAAAACTTGCACTGAAGTCCACAGAAGTTTGCCTGGGTTTGGAGAGTTAAGGAATCTGAACAAGACTCATAGAAAAACTTTGCTCTGTACAGAGAAGTCATCAGATGGCCGACTCTCTTCAAGTACGGCACTTGTACATGTTGAGAGCATTTTAATCAGATTCATGGTATCATAGTATCATAGTGCTTAGGGTCAGAAGGGACCTAAACAGATCATCAGGTCTGACCCCCTGCCCCGGGCAGGAACAGGTGCCGGGGTCATATTGCCCCAGCCCAATATCTGCTCAGCCTCCTCTTGAAGACCCCCAAGGTAGGAGAGAGCATCACCTCCCTTGGGAGCCCATTCCAGAGCCTGGCAGTTCTGACTGTACAGTAATGTCTCCTGATGTCCAGCCTGAACCTTTTCTCTTGAACAATTTGTGGCCGTTATTCCCAGTAACCCCAGGGGAACAGAGCCTCCCCCAATGCCTGTTGGCCCCCCCGGTGAGTTTGTAAAAGGCCACCAAGATCCCCTCTCAGCCTTTTCTTGTGGAGGCTGAATAGATTCAGGCCCTTTAGCCTCTCTTCTTAGGGCCTGCTCCATTGCCCCTTGACTATGCGGGTGGCCCTCTTCTGGACCCTCTCAATGCTAGCCACATCCCTCTTGGAGAGCAGTGCCCAGAACTGGACGCAGTACTCCAGCTGCGGCTTGACCAGCGCTACATAGAGGGGGAGGATCACCTCCCTGGACCTGCTTGAGATATCTGTAGATGCACGACAAGGTGCGGTTAGCTTTACTGACCGCTTCCTTACGTTGGCGGCTCATGTTCATCCTGGAGTCAGCAATGACTCCAAGATCCCTTTCTGCTGCCATGTTGACAAGACGGGTGTTTCCCAGCCTATAGGTGTGTTGCTGGTTCCTTCTCCCTAGGTGCAGCACCTTGCACTTGTCTGTGTTGAACTCCATCCTATTCTTATCTGCTCACCTCTGTAACCTGTCTAGATCTAGCTGGATTCTGTCCCTCTCTTCCAGCGTGCCCACCTCGCCCCACAACTTGGTGTCGTCAGCAAATTTGGACAGCGTGCTTTCCACACCCACATCCAGATCGCTGGTAAAATGTTGAACAGTACAGGCCCCAGGACCGAGCCCTGGGGGACTCCACTGCCCACGTCCCTCCAGGTCGAAAGCGACCCGTCCACCACCACTCTCTGGGTGTGACCATCTAGCCAATTTGCCACCCACCTGACTGTGTAGGCATCAATGTTGCAGTCACCAAGTTTTTTTAAAGAGAATGTGGTGGGAAATGGTGTCAAAGGCCTTCTTAAAGTCCAGGAAGATGACATCCACCCTGGATCACCCTAGATGCATGTTTTTACAGCAAATACCATAACTTTGTGGGCTAACATTCTTTGTCAAGCTTTAACTTGATGGCCTTAAAAGTAATCTTGAGAAACTTGTAGGCATTTTCATGTTGATGAATTGGTGATTTTACACAACTGGAGAAGTAAAGGGTTTGAAAAATAGCTTTAACCCTTTCTGCATAACCTGTTTGAGGCTGTGCATCTATTAATCCCGACTTTCCTTTTGATGATAGGCTTGTCATTTCAGTTGGAATCCCCCTGAAATTTCTCTTAAAAAATTAGCCTGGGTTGAAAAATCTGTTTTGCTGCAATAGGGTCACAGAAAATTTAGGCTGGAAGGGACCTCACGCAGTCATGTAGCCCAGCTTCCTGCTCAAGGCAGGATAATCCCAACCTAAATCATCTGAGCCAAGTGTCTGTCCAACCTGCTCTTGAAAATTTCCAAAGCTGGAGATCCCACAATTTCTCTAGGCCACCTATTCCAAATGCTTGACCAGTGCTACATACAATAATTAATAGCTTTTCAAGATGAGCAGCTTGCTTGATAGGATAGTAGTGGTAGTTTATTTACAGCATTCACCAAAACACTACAATAAAATGAACAAATAAAATTATCTAAATAAATAACAGCATTTATATAATACATAATTTTTACTAAAACGCTTGATAGGGTAATTGGGCTGCTATTAGTTTGGGGCAGGCATTACTGGTGTCTGTTTTAGCTCTAAAAGAGTTAAAACATTATGCATCATCATGCTCTAGGCAAGTGTTCAGGCCAGCTCTCTGTACACAGGCAAGTATCAACTCTAAATTATGATTGTTAATCATATCCTATCCTTGAGGGTTTAAGTTGGATGTGGAATTATGCATGTGCCTTATGCTGGCCCTTTGAACAAGGGCAATTTCATTCAGTCTGAATAAATGGAAATGTAATTGCATTCTATTAAAATGCTGTATTTCGAAGCCCGTGTGTACCGTTGAGCATTTCAAGTAAAAATAAAATCTGACAAGTGAAGCAATATCATGAAGTAAGGTCCTGTAAACTGTATTCCATCTTGTAGTAATTAGAGTGTAACAGTATTAGTGAAACATTAATATTGCAGCGGAGCAGCAGCTGGTGTGGTTTACTCTGGGCTCCCAAACTGCTTCTGTCGCAACCGATTGTTATACAGTTTATTCAGCAAGAAGGCATCTTACGGGATTCTCCAAACTCACACTTGAGGTTTTGAAACACCCTCTCCCAGGTCTTTTAAAGTGAGAAGCACTTCTCGTCTCTGCAAGTGTTTTCATGCAGCTGGGCAGAATCCTGTTCTTTAAGCTTGTCCCCCATGACAGAGACTCTCAGCCTTTTGCAGATCCTGAGCTGAGGCTGGGTTGTCAGCCTGCTGCAGTGGTGGTTTCTGTGTGCACGAATGGCCTTTTGCTGCTGGGTTTGGCCTTGTAGCTGCTCACCCCGCCTCATCCCTCCACAGAACTTTCCTTTATCAGCTTGCTGTAATAACATCAGTAATAATAATAGTACAGACCTTGCATGGTAGTGACTTGGATATAAAGGTTTGCCACGCCAAAGCAACGTGTGGGCCTGACAGAGCGCAACAAAAAACAAATGCATGAACATTTTTGCTAGTTCTTTAGTTTGGAGAAGAGAAGACCGAGGGGGATCGAATAGCAGCCTTCACCTCCCTGCAGGGGGGCTGCAAAAAGGATGGAGCTGGGCTGGTCTCAGTGGGGACAGATGACAGGACAAGGAGCAATGGGCTCCAGCTGCCACAAGGGAAGTTGAGGTTGGATATAAGGAAAAACTTTCTCACTAGGAGGGTGGTGAAGCACTGGCACAGGATACCCAGAGAAGTGGTGGCATCTCCATCCTTGGAGGTTTGTAAGACCTGGCTAGAGAAAGCCTGGCTGGGATGATGTAGTTGTGGCTTTGAGCAGGGGCTTGGACTAGATGTGACCTCCTGAGGTCCCTTCTGACCTTCATTTTCTATGATTCTGTAGCCTCTCCTCCTGGCCCAGCCCCAGGAAAAAAGGAGTACATAAGTGTCAAATGGAAAAGGCACCAATTTGCCATTCCTATAGTGAGCATGTGGCTCAAGAAAACCATTGACAACTCGTACTAGCTTAGTAGTGTCAGCTGAAGGCCATGGACTGAATGGAGAAGGGAACTCTGTGTCTCCTGAATGGGGTCCCAAGAGTTCATGGCTGAGGTACATGTCCAGGTGATTGTGGGCAAATTTATCTTTGTGTTCTTTCAGTAGCTAAACATGACCCTTCAGTCCCTACTGCTGTCAGTCCAGCTCTGTTCCCAAGCACCAAACTCACTTTTCAAACCAAACCTTCATTTTAGAGCACCAGAATAATGTGCCATTGTAATGAATTATATTGGTATAATTGGTACAGAGCTGTGTTACAGATGTTAATCTAAAAAAAAGTGGTTGCCTAAATAAACACAAAAAAAATAATAAAAAAACCAAGATTAGGCTGTTAGAAGTTATTGCAAGTGGCAGGGAGGAAATGCATCTAAATTGTTGTGATTGTAAAAGCTTTTTCCTCCCAAAAAGCCTTCAGTTGTTAACGCGTACCACTATAAAGAACAGTTCTCATTGACATTTTTCAAAAGCCTTTTTGGATGAAGCAACCATAGAAGGAAATGGCCTCGTAATTCCCCATTTAACTTGAAATCTCAGAGTCCCCTTCATCCCTGCTCCCTACTTGGGTTTTAGAGCCAACATTTGTGCTGATGTTTTGTACCGCGCCGAGCACAGTGGGATTGTGGCGTGTGACTGTGATAATATGAATAACTATGAGCGTTTGCACAGCATGTGCTCTCTCTCATAGTGGAAGACTACCATCAAAACAGAAGCGCTCCAGCAAGTTGTTGTAGGTAGCCAACTGATCTTCTGATAGCAAAAGATAAAAGCCCTGTTGATGGCCACACAGAGAGCTACGTTTGTTAGCTTGGGAAGCTTGTACAGTGAAATATGGATTTGCTTACTTTCGTCTGTCTTGTGCTATTTACAGTCTGCTGCGAGTTTGCTGAAAGGGAACAGAATGGCTGTCAAGGAGAAGCTGGAGGCAGTACTAAACGTGGCCCTGCGGGTCCCTAGCATCATGCTTTTGGACGTCTTGTACAGATGGGATGTCAGCTCCTTCTTCCAGCAGATCCAAAGAAGTAGCCTCAACAACAACCCTCTCTTCCAGTACAAGTACTTGGCCCTTAATATGCATTATGTGGGTAAGTGCACATACGAAAATGCAAACACGGTCCTGAAATGAAGCTTTCCCTCTGCCAGAGTTTTGGGAGGGCTGCACAACAGCAAGGTCTTACCTTGTTTATTCAATACCAGACTCACCTTCTTCCTGGAAATGAGCAATTGAAAATTGTGGTGTGCATCTTCAATGAGGGCCCTGATCTGAACAGTTTGGTTCAAAGGGAAATGTTTCTTCTTCATTCTGCATTTCCAAAACAGGGTGCATGTCTCATTTGGGCACGTGGTATATGAATAAATACAGTAGTGTGGTTATGACGCCAAAATGCTACTGTTTTTTCCGTTAATGATCAAACCGTCCCATCCTGTAGTCTCCCAGTGCTTTTAGAAAGAAGTATATTATATAGTCTCAAAAGAATTTATGGTATCATGTGAACTGAGTGAAACTTGAGGACTGAAACTGCTAACAACGGGTTGAAAGAACAAAAGTATGAACTGGGGATGGGCTCATCTGTTTTTGACCTTTCCTTTCTCATGTCCTTGTGACAAGGTATTTAGCAGAATTTGCAGATTTGTTGGAATCTGACGTGTAAAACATTCCTTGCCGTGGCAAGGGCTGAAGCCACTGGTGACAGCCCTGTTCCCCCTGCTCTCTTGCTGGGGAGTGTTGTAGTTTGAAGCCTTTTGTTTTCTTTATTAAATATCCTGGTTTGGTGCCAGGGGTTGGTGTGATGCGTGATGGGAGGAGGAGGCGCTGAACTCTATGTGCTGATGGACCTCTTTGGATTTTAACATCTATCATATAGTTGCCTATAATTGCAGAGGATTAGACTTGATGCCTCTGTGGTTCCTCTCAGTCCTACATTTTCCTATCTTGCGGGAGAACAGCAGAGAGGGGAGGGAGAGAGAGGGGTAGTCAATTGTTATGTAAAAGCCAAGTATTATAATTTACCTAGCTGCTGGGAGCTAAATAAAAGGCTAGAAGGAAGGAAATAAGTTGTTGCCTCTGGCTCATGACCTGCAGCTTGACAAAAGCCAGCTTTCAAACTTTATTACTTGATTTGCAGCGTAGATATGGCACTTCAGCTTAAAACCTTAAGCTTTCAAAATAATATGAGCTGTGTTGACAGTGGGTTGGTATGTGTAGTGCATCCACATACTGCACCCAAGTGGACAACTTTCCTAGCTCAATCAACTGGAATTCAGGGAGCTGAGACTAAAAGACATGGCCCAGAGCTCTAGCTCTGGTGGTAGGGGCCTGTTTTGGGGAGGTAAAAGGACCACACTCCTGGGGCCAAGTTCTCCAATGGGTGTGTGATTATTTTGCAGAGTGTATATTTATAGCAATTGTAGCTTACCATATATATTACCAACTTTTTAGGGATAGGATTAGCATGTAATTTATTTGGCGTGTGTTTTGATGTTACCTCCTTGTATTAGTTACTCAAGACAAGATACGGGATCAACTACAAGAGCCTGCCAAGGGGAATATCTTTTAGGTTTAGTCATTGGAGGCCAGTGTTTGGTTTTGTCCTTTTTCTGGAGCAGTGTGTCTAGGGTTTTAATCCTGCCTCAAGGGGTGTTGGTATATGATTGTTATCTTTTTTTCATTTCTGTTGCCTTCAGCATATTTTTTCTCATTACAAATGCAAATGTTACATGGCCTTTGGTTGCTCTGACTTACTGTATTGTTGGTGGAGAATTGTAGGAATGCACTTGCCATTCCTTTAATAGAGAGAGGCCAGTGTTGTTTGTCTGCTTTTTGGGGGCTGGGGCAAAGAGCAGGGTAGAACTTGCTTGATGGCTCAGATGACAAGATGTGAGTGGTCTCTCGTTGTACCCATGAAAAGAAACACTCTTTGCAAAATAATCTATATGTATAGCATTTGTACCAGTCAGTTTTGAACATTAAAGGTAGCTGTTGTACACTGAGATAACTGGTAGAGCAGTATGTCCAGTGAGATCTTTGAGCCGTCTTTTTTGTGATCATTTGATGATACTGATCTTTGTTAAATTCTCTGAGGTTTTTTTGATAACAAGCACTTTATCATTGATAGGTGCTGTTAATATTAGCTACAGCATCACTCACTTGATGTCTGCTTAGATATTTGAATAGTGGTTTCTCCCTTTGCCTGTCTTTAACTGCCATTCACTGTTTGGCATTTACATATTTAGTGTACAGTGATATAGCAGTACTTTCACACCTTGCTTTTAAAATATTGAGTCTCTATAATGATACTGTGTCAATTTGTAATTGCTTTTCTGGGAGGTTTTTAAAGCATTGTTTTACTTAAAGGCACATGCTTGTGTTTAAAAACAGATCCCAAACTCATTTTTATAGTGTCCCAGGCCCTGTGGATACTCTGAAATTAAAATTGATTTAATTTTGAATCAGCAAGGAATTGTTATAAATCAGTATAAGCCAAGGTTAAATTGATTTGCGTGTCCACACAGGGTTTCATGCTGCTTTGACTAAATCAATTTAAAAACGTGACCTTAGCTAAGTTGATGCAATTTGTATATAAACTGGGTTTATATACCATACTCCTCCCATTTGGAAAACTAAACTCCTTTCAATCCATTTGGGCAGGAGATCAATGTGTGACTTGATTAGCATAGTAGCATGCTGCAGATATATGGAGATGTGCTACATTTTTAAATCTATATTTGTATTTCAAAAATTCCCATTGGTTCAATCTTTGTCCATGCCTATGGCAACACAAGTATAATAAACTGCAACTACTTGTTTGCAGTAATAGGCAGTGGCTGGGTTAATAATCCCTTAGCGCAATAGGCTAAAGTTGTTCTCTTTTTCTTACCCTGTCCAAGATTAGCAAATTCTTGATAGCCTCAACAAAAGCAGCACCTTCCCGGTAGAGAATCGGTGCTAGGATGCAGCCCATGAACTCTGGTCCATGAGTAAACAGGGCTATTTTGGCTGTCAAGTGCGCTTCTGCATTCACCTCCTCCCCCCTGTTTACTTTTTCCCTAATTCAGAGTAGCTTGAAAGGCTGTGCTGGCTGCCAAAGTCAGAAGAACTGATCAGGTTTAGGCATCTTAAATGGAGGATTTAAATGATACTGCTGCTGTGATTCACAATGCAGCCAGCAGTACTGGGAACCGAGTCAAGCCTGTAGGTGCAGCCAGCTCTGCAGCCCGGCCCTCCTCCCCCTCAGATCCTTTTTTGTGAACAAACGTGGTCTGCACTCCACAGATTATCTGATCCTGGTGACAGCTTTAGAACCTGTCTGGCTGCACCGAGGTGAACTCGGAGCAAAGAGCCGGCAAACCATGGAGGCACATTTCTAGACAGAGCCATCAAGCCCAGAGAGGTACATTGGAAAAGAAGTGCGTTTTTCTCTGCAACCGAGCTGTCCAACTGGTGACCTGCAGGCTTCAGGTGGCCTCTGGAGGGTTAGCACATAGCCCACGGGCTCCTACCCCATTGCACCCCCCCATCCAGTTGCTGCTGCTGCTGTGGCCTGGTTCTTCAGGCTTCCCCCATCTCCGGCTTCTCCTTCCTGCCCCTGCTTCTGGGGGCAAGCCGGCTTTGGGGAAGGGAGCTGAAGCACTGCACACAGCATCAGGAGGGGAGCTGTGCTGTCGAGGTTGAGGAAGAGGGCTGTCCACACGGCAAGCATCGTTGGGAGGGGGAAGCTGGGCTGCTCCTGTGTTGGGAGCAGTTGGGGAGTGGTGAAGGCTGCCCACATGGCTGGTACACCTTGCAGTCCCCAGGTCCATGACCCGGGCTGTCCAGTTGAACAGCCCTGCCCCAGAACATCAATTTCTCCTTTCTGAAGATCCGCTAGACATGCCAGTCAAGCTTTCCTACTGTATAAAGACTGCTAGGATGTGGATGGGCTTTTGCGGGTGTTACCTGTTTGATATCCAGGTATTTCAGTCCTCGCTGAACCGGGATGCAGTGGGGAATTCTGTACTACACACAGACAAGCAGAGCTATTACTCTCTAGCGGGAACAGTATTGAGCTGTCTGTTAGAAACCCAAGCTTGTCAGAAATGAAAAATCATTTGGCCTGTTAAACCACTTCCATTCCTTTGCCTAAGAAGCTCCCTTTCCTCCCAAAAGTATAAAGAATTTAATAACATTGCAGAATTCCCTAATAACAGTGAACACTTGATATTATCTATAAGGAGATGGAAATTAATTTCCATGTTAACTGCTGTTATTGCAATGAAAACTGATCATTGGAAGAGATCATCAAGGAGAACCATCGATTCACCATAACTTGAAGTCTTTAAATAAAAAGACGAGCATCTTTCTGAAAGAGAGGCTGTACTTCAGCTGTCACTTTTTTGGGTTAGATACTGGAATTTGTCTCAATGAAATTAGCAGCTGTTGCTATGCAGAAGGTCAGGCAACATGATCATAATGGGCCCCTTCAGGTCTAAAATGTGAGTAATCAAGGCTAATGTTATCTTTGTACACCCTCTTGCAGTAGGGCCTGTTTGCTTGATAATTTAATAAAGCTTATTTAAAAAAAACCCATTTAAAATGGTTGGCATTAAAAAAAGCTGACCTATATATTTGTGCTGTTTGGTAATCTTGACGTACATAATGGAGCCGTCTGAAAACAGAAGCTGCAGGCTTAAACAAGTGAGGATTTGAGTCCAGTTCCAGGTGGAAAATGAATGTACTAAGAATCCTTCAGCCACATAAGTAATTAAAAGTAGTGAAAATTGTTTAATCTTCTCTCCCAGAGACCTGGGGAAAGGGTATAGCAGCACCCTAAGTCTTGTCTGTGCCTCTCCCAGCTACTCAGGTGGTCCAGTAAAAGATGTCACCCACAAAAATCTTTGCCTTTTCCCTTCATTATGCATAGTACTTGGGAACATAACTCGGGAGGAGCACTGATCTTTGCAGGTCTCCTTGGAGTCTTTGAGAGTTCCTGGTTGCTAATCAGGATCAGGTCATGTTTGGCTTTCCCTTTACCTACGTCTCATCATATAAAAAAAGACCGTTGCCGTATCCACTGCATAACATCAGCTGCTGTAGAAGCAGAATGTG